CTGTTTTTGGCTACTTCTATGATTTGTTCTGCGTACTGTATTGCTTCTGGATGTTGGTGTAATGCGCAATGCAAATTAACCAAATCGTGTAGAGTCTCCAGGAGTAGGGATTTATCATCTCCTCTAAAAAATCCAACTGCTTCTTTGAAATGTATAATGGCAGCTTGTTTGTCGTTCTTCAAGACAAACTTCAAGGCTCTTACTCTTTCAATCCAAAATGTTGCATGGTTGGCGCCTTCGTTGTCATTGGTTTCCTCTAAGATTCTCAAAGCCTCGGTAAATGCCAAGAAGGAAGAATCGTAATCACGCACACAAAAACAGCTATAATCTTGACCCTTCCTCATATACCCTATGGATCCCCATTTCTTGTCATTACTGTTTTTGGCTACTTCAATGATTTGTTCTGCGTACTGTATTGCTTCTGGATGTTGATGTAATGCGTAATGCAAACGAAACAAATCATGTAAAGTCTCCAGGAGTAGGGATTTATCATCTCCTCTAAAAAATCCAACTGCTTCTTTGAAATGTATAATGGCAGCTTGTTTGTCGTTCTTCAAGACAAACTTCAAGGCTCTTACTCTTTCAATCCAAAATGTTGCATGGTTGGCGCCTTCGTTGTCATTGGTTTCCTCTAAGATTCTCAAAGCCTCTGTAAAAGCTAACAAGGAAGAATCGTAATCACATAATAAACAACAATGAACTTGACCCTTCATCATATAGCCAGTGAATTCCAATTTTTTGTCGTTCCTGTTTATGGCTACTTCTATGGTTGTTTCTGCGTATTGTATTGCTTCGAAATGTTCTCTATGCAAATTAGACGCTTGTTTGAGCTTGTTCAACTCTCTTACTTTTTCAATCAAAAGAGATGCAATGTTGGCTCCTTTGATATCATAGGTTTCATTGCAGTTTCTTAAAGCCTCGTCAAAAGCTAACAAAGAAGAATTGTAGTCACCTACGCAGAAACAGCTATAATTGTGGGCCATCATCATACGGCCAGTGGATTCCCATTTCTTGTCGTTACTGCCTTTGGCTACTTCTATGATGTTTACTGCATAATGCATTGCTTTTGTGTGTTGATGTAACGCACTGTGAAAATTATACCAATATCTTAAAGTCTCTAAGGTTGTGAATTTATTCTCAACTGCTTTTTCAGGATGTACAATCATCATTGTAGCTTTTTTGTTATTCCTGTTGTAAAAGTGAAAGCCTTTTTCTTTTTTAAGCACAAAAGATACCAAGTCGGCCATTTCGTTGTCGTTGTTTTCCCTTGATATTCTCAAGGCTGCTTTCAGAGCCAACAAAGAATTATATTCGTAATCACCTAAACAGCAATGTATTTGGCCTTTCATGAGATATCCAATGGATTCCCATTTCTTGTCATCACTGTCCCTGGCTACTTCTATGATTTTTTCTGCATACTGTATTGCTTTGTGGTATTGACTTAAAGCACCATGTAAATCAATCAAATCTCTGAAGGTTTTCATGAGCAGTTGCTTGTTTTCACCCTTTATGTATTCAGCTGCCCGTGCATTATGTAGAATAGCAGCTTGATAGTTTCCCTTTTTGGCACATTCACAAGCTTTCATTTTTTCGATCATAAACGATCCAATAAGGTGATTGGTCAGATTATTTAACTGTTGGTTTGTTGATTGACTCCAATCCTAAAATAGATATAAAAAGGATTATGTGAGATATTAATTTTATGTTCCTATTATATATGCAGATATAATACTTGGAGTTGTCTATATTGTTGATGTTTAGACACCAATCAAAACTTTGCTCCTTAGTTTGAATGGAACACAAAAACGAGCCAAGAGGTTACAAAACAGTTAATTAGATGACTCAGATGGGAAGAGATAATTGGTGAACGACATTAAAGGAATTATGTAGACCTGTGGTATGCTAATTTCGTATTAAAATTTATAAATTTTCTTGTTTTCTTTACATCACCCCCGGGGGGTTACTCGACCCCGTTTTGGATAGGTACGTGCCGCCAGCGGTCTAAATCCCTGACCCTGTTTAAGACACTAAAAAGTAAAAATCCATACCCTGTTCAAGACAAATCGGAAAAATAAGGACAATTTCGGGTGAAATGTATACCCTGTTTAAGACAGCAAGGCCAAAAACCATACCCTGGCCAGCGGCACGTCCCCGTATAGCAAATATATGGGAGTACCCCCCTCCCCTCCCCCCCCCGGGACATCACCTTATTGTCTTGATCGTCTTCAGACAGACTGTTTGCGTACTGCTGAGCAAAGTCATCGTACATAGCTTGATAAATGATAGCATTGTCATCTTGATGGAGTATTTCGTATGCACGCCACACTTCTCGAGCTGCTTCCATCTTAATTAGGTCTTGATCGGGTTGATTCAGTTGATCTGCAATTTCAATGCATTCCTTTCCCTTCTTAATAGCAGCAGTATGCTTCTTTAGCTGAATGTAACCTCTACATTGAACAATAAGATGATTTGCTTTTACTCTTGCACTTTCAGACAATCGAACTGAATCAGGAGTGGAAAAACTGCATTTCTCTTGCCTTTCATTACAGACTCTTTCGGAAGGTATATTATTTACCTGACAAACAATTCAAAAAATATTAGATTCTGTCCCGAATTGATCACATTAATGCAAATTGTGATGATCTATGTTGAAATCTTGATAGTAATAAAAGGGAGCAATACTTATTACTTTGGACCTGTTTCGTGGTCTCTTACCATTGTTGGTTTTAAAGCTAAGTAGTGGCTGCCATAACGCCCAATATACAAGGATCGATTGCTGGTCGTCTCATTCGGCTCATACTTTTTGATAGATTTACGTTTATCCTTCTACAGAAATGTATTACATTTTAGGAGTTTGTGGTTTTCAGCACATTCAAAATGGTAACAAAATGTTTGTTCCACTTACTTCATCTACAGTGACAATTACTAAAGTGCGTTGCATAATATTTGCAAGGCTTTTGACAATTGATTCATTTAGAATATTCTTTGGAAGAACTGAATGGAGGACCTCTCCACCAATGTTGTTTTGATTGTCGAGACCTTGTTGTTCATGACCATCGACCTTAATTTGCATAAAAGTAAATTCAGTATTGAAATAAAAACAACAACAACAACAGCATTTTATAGTGAGGGCTGGGGGAGGGGGTCAGGTATGCTATGAAACGTTGTCATAGAAAATAGAACATTTGAATTTAGTAAAAAGGAATAAATTAAAACAAGACAAAAGAAAGCGTTCAGCCTCAGTGATCTTCCTTTGTCTTGTTTTAATTTATTCCTTTTTACTAAAAACAAATGTTCTATTTTCTATGACAACGTTTCTGCAAGTAGGTGTATATCCCATTAGTTTTTCTGTTTATATCTTACAATTTCTGGATCGTGTATTAAATTTGAGCATTTAAAATTGAAAGACCGCTTTTAAAAAAATCACTCGCTAAAGATGAACACGTTATTAAATTTGTGGACACTTTTGAATAGCCAGCTAACAAATATTAATACCAGCATTTAATTGCAATAACGAAGCCATATTCACAAGCTAGTAGAGGAAGGACTGGCCACCAAATTTCAGTAATGGCTTCGTTGTGGCATTCTTTACATAAACTGTCCATTTAAACTCACCAGTAGCCCACAAGAAACACATCTTAATTTAGTTATTCAATATCCCGTATAACTACTTCTTTTTTCATAGTTTCATTATTATTGCACTTACACCGTGCATGTTATTGTTTAGGTAGCCAAAAACATCCCTTTTGACAGCTTCTACATCTCTGCCAATCAGATGTCCCACTGACGCAAAAAGACTATCGTCGCAAAGTTGTTCGGGAGGATCATAGACAATTTGATAACCTTCCTCCTCGAAACGTTTCTGCATCAGCAACGTGGCTCTGCAGTCTGCCTGAAAGATCAGAAAAAGATACGTACGATGACGTAGTTTGTTTACATCGGAAAAGTCTCATCTTCGTCAATTCCTGTTAAAACAGGTATATTCTTGAAACTTTGCATATCGATCACTAATAATGTGACCAATTCGATACTTCATTTCGTTTTTAAACCACAAAAGAAATGCATCAAAATTTATCCTGTATTCTTTAAATCATGAATATTGATAAGGGAAAATCCCCATTCCATCCAATAGCTATGAATATTGATAAGGGAAAATCTCTGAATATTGATAAGGGAAAATCCCTTCCATCCCCATAGCTATGAATATTGAAAAGGTAAAATCCCTATTACACCCCAATAGATATGAATATTGATAAGGGAAAGTCACTATTCCATCCCCTCCATCCCAATAGATATGAATATTGATAAGGGAAAGTC